GGGCTCACCTCCAGGATGGCGTCACAGGCCGAGACCTGGGGGCGGGGCTTCCCAAGAGGAAAGGGGGAACCCGGGGGCGGGGGGCTCACCTCCAGGATGGCGTCACAGGCTGTGATCTGGTTGTGCAGGGAAGTGATGTTCTTGCTTTCCTGTGTGTCTGCAGGACACACGGGCGGCTAAGGAAATGGGGGTGCAGGCAGCAGGAAGGCTCTGGGGAGGGGGCTGCCCTTGGACACCCCTCTGCACTGACACGGAGAGAGACACCCCAGCCAATACAGCGGTACAGCTGGAAGTGCGGATGTGGAATCTCTGGGAGAGGTTTGACCCTGGGACTCGCCCCGGCCCGCGCCAGGGTGTTATGAAGTATGGCTATGTGCACACGAGGGCTGCGCGCACATGGGGACTGCGATGCGGGAGGTCACACCCCTGCCCTCCATCATTCCTGCACGTAAACCAGGCCCTGTTTTCTGCCTGGTGCAAGGACCTTCCCCGACATTGGGTCCTCCCTGCCCGGTGCCCGGAGAGCGGGGGGGCAGGATACAGTCCTTGATGGAGGCATGTTCGATGTGTCGCAGCTCGAGCTCCACCTGCTTGGAGTACTGCCGCAGGTCCACGCCCTGGGGAGAGAGGGGTCAGTCACCAGCTGGGGCAGGGCAGCTGGGCCCTGGCCCGGGGGTGGAGGGGGGACTTACAGTCTTCAGCGCCTCCTGAACCAGGGAGTCCTCCAGGTTGGCTTGGATGTGAACTGCGGGAGGGCAGACTGGGTCAGTACCCACAACAGTGCTCCCCAAAACCTGCCTCCCCATAGTGCCCCACCTCCCTGCATTCCCCCACCCTCCTCCAATCCCCTCATAGGCCCAAACTACTCCTGGTGTCCCCCACCTCACCCCTTCCCCCCCACCTCTCAGTGCTCTTCCAACCTCCCCTGTTCCCTCTCAGATCCCCACCTCATGCCTCCCCCCCGCACTTCCACAGATCACTTGCCTGCCCCCCATTGGCTGCGTACGCTCCCTGCCCCAGCACTTACTGTCCACTTCATCCAGGATGAACTCATCAGAGGTGAGGTCCAGGTCCCCCAAGTTCAGCTGCAGCGACTGCTCCTCGCCACACCCCTAGGGAGAGCAGGTCAGGCTGTTACGTAGGGGGCCGGGGGGACTGCGGGGGCATGGGCAGGCACAGCGCAGGCCAGAGGCTGCGAGGCAGGACGCTCCCTGCCCCAGCACTTACTGTCCACTTCATCCAGGATGAACTCATCAGAGGTGAGGTCCAGGTCCCCCAAGTTCAGCTGCAGCGACTGCTCCTCGCCACACCCCTAGGGAGAGCAGGTCAGGCTGTTACGTAGGGGGCCGGGGGGACTGCGGGGGCATGGGCAGGCACAGCGCAGGCCAGAGGCTGCGAGGCAGG